GAGTTTTATATTTCTGCTTTGGGATTTTGAGCTGACAAAACAAATGCTCATTTAAAATGGTGGCCTTCCCCTCTGATCTTTGACCTTTGACCTTTGACCTCTAGCGGAGAGCTACCCGAGCAGCAGCAGCAGCTACTTTGAAGGCGTGTGTTCATCGAGGAGGGCTTCGACCTGCAGTCAGCGGAGCCCCTCCCCCCAAATCACAGACGACCTACCTGAGCTGCTCGTCCAACTCGGCCTGATCAAGTACATTGATGTGTTTGAACAACAAGAGGTAAACACATACAGAGCATAGACTCGACTAAAAGTGGAACCAAATCATCTTGATTGCCCCTGGTGGAGAGTTGTAGTCTAGATATTCAATACCATAAAAATGGGGTGAAACATCATGATTGGCAGCCAAGCCTGACTCGTGACTGGTTTGGCATGTTACAGTTACGTATTATGTACAAGCATCATGATACATATACTCTCTGTACTCATCCAGATTGACTACCAGACCTTCCTCACTCTGTCTGATGAGGATCTGAAGGAAGTGGGTGTCTCCACCTTTGGAGCCAGGCGCAAGATGTTATTGGCCATCTCAGGTGAGAATCTCATGTTCTATAGTTTTTAATTCCGACCTGCTTCTCCATCTTTTTTTTACTTTCCTCATCTTGTGAGAGTAATTCACTTGTTTATCCATCAATCGAGATCTCACCAAGAGCAAGAGGAGGCTCTCCGACACACCTGCTGTGAAACCTGGATACCTGGAGGGCGGTGCGAGTGGTCGACTGCCACGAATCATGGATCTAGAAGTTGCTGCTCAGAGTAACCGCTGGTGATAGGAGACGTCGTTCTGAGCTGTATCTGACCAGCCCGAAGCTGTTTATTATCTGAAAGTGTGCAGGGATGCTGTTGCCAGAAGAAAAGTCTCATCTGCTTCTCATTTTCTATGAATGATTAAATGAGCAACCATTATATAAACATTTAAATCCAGTGCCTTTCACCTACAGCCATATCCCAAAGCTTTTTTTAAAAACAAAATTAAGACAAGGAGGTCTTTCCTTTCAGTCCTCTGACTCTACAAGAAACAAATATTTGACAATGAAGATAATTTTTTTCTTTTGTGGAATCTCTGTTGTTTTGCCTTTATAATGCAAATGTATCTTTGCAACCACTACATTTATGCAACTGTACATAGATATCTACCAAAAATCACTCGTAATATTGTTATGTATTGTAATATGATAGTGATGATAAATAAAGTTTAGCTTTTAAGATTTATCCATGAAAACTTTGGTGGTTTTGGAATGTGTTTTTTTATTTGGGTTAAAATAAGCAAAAAAATAAAAATGACAATTTGCAAAATCACGATAAGCGTCTTAAACCCATGAGCCACCTGGGCGTCCCCGAAGACAATGTTTGTCATTTGAAATCCCAGGGAAGCAGCCGTAGTTTCATCAACTCAGAGCCGATATCACTCCAGCAGAGGGCACTGGTGTCAAGCACTGTGTTTACAGATTCAGCTGCGAAAATGAATGGATTTGTCTCAGGGGGACACAATAGCATTAAAGAATTAAAATATACAGTCACAGCAATCAGTTAATAACAAAAGTCATTCAAAGACCTTAATATGTAAATACATTTGTTGAGTGAAGGTAATGTGACACTCCTTCTAATGAGGTTGGTCTCGCCTGACTGCTCACCTGAAAGTTCCAATTTATTTTATCGCTGTAGCCAGGAGTGAATCCACTGGAACTGCTTATGAATTGTTTCCTGTTTCATTTATGTAGCAGAGGGCTAAACCCAGCAATTGTGTGCTATCGGAGGGACTTCACTGGCAGAGAGTTGACGACAACAGTTTGATCTCGCTCTAAATTTGTGTGTTACCACATCGAGAGCGACTGATCCGTAAAACCTCAAACTGGGGGCACGAGGGGTCTGATCTGCTCAGACGCTTCAGAAGCTGCAGACTGGTACAGTGGCAGCCACGCATGAACGAGAGCGTGAGTGGAAGTGGTGGGCTGTGACAGATTAGGGAGAGATGATCCCTATTTATTACAATGTCTCTCCTAATTACAAAGGCAGGGTTTAGAGCCATGATCCTCAAAATCTGGTCCTCGGGCTTTGGTGCAGCACTGGATTTTTTATTCTGTCAGGTAGTTAATTGCACTCCCTTGTGGCAGCAGGTCTAAGTCGGTCCTTGATCACACAGCTAGAATGAAAACTATCTAAAAAAAACAGCAGTGCTCTAGACCCTGAGGACTATGGAGAGTCACTTGGACCTTTCACCCGCTAAAGTGGCAATCATGGAACATGGCCCAGATACATGGTGGGTGTGCGGAATGAGGCTATGAGCCGACTCCATGTGCAACCTGTCCTGTGGTCTAAACTTGATATCAAGATGATGCAGTGCAAGTTAACCTTTTATAGTATATAGGATGTGAAATTATGGTAGTGTCTCCAATGTTTCTTGTTTGCTTATTCTCAGGCCATTGATCAGTCATGTGATTGACAATCACCATAGACACAAGGTTTATTTACGGAATAGCTTGGCAAACACAGAATTACATGAGGGGGTTGACATCACTTTAATGTTTATATGGTGAATAGGAAGCTTGTGCCCTGTGATATGCTTGCGACTTGCCTAGAGTGTACCACACAGTTCTGTGCCTCACCGTGTGTGTGTTGTCAAAGTGAGAGGTTGTATGATTGGGTGATTTGCCAGTGATCTAAATTAACACAAGAAGGATGCTTGAAAAGGTTTATCCAGATTCGCTCCAAAATTGTATTCCTGATTCTTCTGAAGGTCATGCCCCAACCCTCCGCAAAATTTCATTGAAATGGGCAGAGCAGTTTTAAAGTAATCCTGATAACTAACAAACAAACGCAGATGAAACACCATCCTCCTCTGTAGAGGAAATTAGAGTACTAACAACTGAGACCTTATAACTACATAATAACTGAAACATCATCATATGATGGTAATTGACAAACTATATAAAACCATTTATTTATTCTCCCCATCAAAATAACCAACTGCTTAAAGACCCCCCTCTCAGAGCAGTGGAGGGATTTACATGACAGAGAATCAGTCTGTAGACAGTGAAAATGCAGCCAATAAAGACATGAAAGAGAGGAATAAAGTGCCCCGAGGATATAACACAACCACACAACTTCCTTACTGAGATAAAGATAGAACTCACTCCAGGATTAACAATAATGAGACTGTGTGTGTGTTTGTGAAGCCAGTGAGGGTTGAAAATGAGCGCTGGTGTGTGATAAATGTGTTTTGTGGTTAGGAGGCGAAATGAACTGCCATGTGATTAAAAATGTGAATATTTTGGGCTTGTGATTATTTGAATATATCCTCATTACTTGCCCATGATAGCTTTGTGTGTAAAATGAACGTGACTTCTGGTTATTGCTTTAAATTGGGAGTATGCTAAGTAAGAAAGTAAGAAAGAAAAGAGATTTTGGGGAGGTAAATAATGTGGGAACACAGCCAGTTACACCTCTGCCTCCGACTGTTGAAGGATGAGAGGACGACCTGAAGAAGTGTCCTTGAAATAACATACAGTAGCACATTGTTCCGATTTACTTATTTTGTAGCTACAAACCAAAAAGATTGTAAATAAAGATGGATGACATGACAGCTAACCAAAAGTTAAGAAAAATAATCTTGACTGGCACCTGACGGCTGGCTTTAGCATAGGTCATAAACTCTGCCTACTCCATGTTAGCAGATGGGACATGAACCAAACTGCACGATATTTTCCCCTCTGTTCCTCACATCACCTTTGTTTTACAAACTATCTTTGTCCAGATGAGAAAAAACCCCCACTATAAATGCTAGGAAAGCCGGCCCATAGGTGGTGATAAAATCTACATCTGTCAACCGGTATATGCATCTCCACTTCCTTCTGTTGTACAAAAATGAAGCCTAAATATCCCACATTCGGTTGCAGCCATTTTGCACTTTTGAAGTCATTTCTCATGGAAGAGAAGAGAAAATGGGAAAATAATAAAAGGAATGACACCTGTAGGATTATGCTAAACCTTGAAGATGCAGTGGAATAAGCAAAAGTCACACCCATAATTCACACAAGGCATTATGGGACTAAGAATAATGTAGATGCAGGAAAGAGCAGCAGAATTGAGACGAACAAATGAGACATTTTCTTTACAGCTTTTGTCATGAAGCCTGAGGACAGCAGAAGACGCTGCAGTATTGGGTGATTATACACCTCCCTCCACATTTTGGCCTAATTTAATGCACATAGTTAAACCCGTCGTCTATTGTGTCTGACAGAGGGTGCTGTGTCCTGCTTATTAGGCTGTTTCCAACCAGAGGATTTAGCTGTCCTCACGTCTGGTTGTTGTTACAGTGTGTTTTCAAAGTGCTGAGCGCGCCGTTTCAAGCCAATGGGGTCAGCTGTCCCATTAGCCAGAGATTTTACAAAAACACTCATTAAGCTTTTCATGTTCTTTTGCTTGCCTTGCTTGCTTTGTGAGTCTGCTCTCTCAAAGGCAAATGATAAGGGAAGTTTTTGCAGCGACCATTTAAATCTGCTTTTGACTGGGGAGGCTGCGTTCTCAAGGTTGGAAAAGGTCAGAATTGATGGAGGGCTTTGACTGCTCTATTGCAGAGACATCTGAGCTACAGAAAAAATAAAACCCAAAGCACTGGAAACTCATATAAATGTGTTTGTGGTTTAGAAGTGAGGAAAAGACGTGTTTTCATTAAATCATGGTTTGGCAAAATAATATGAAATACGAGAGGTGGTGGAACAGTGGAACAGCAGACACATGGACACAGAGCTGTAAGGTTCAAAAGACACCCAAAGTGCCACTTTACTTAAATTTTCAAAGTTACAAATAAAAGTTCACTTAGTTGACATGGTGGAGATTTCAATTTCAAATTACTGAACATATCCGATGTTGGGAGGCAGAACAGAGCCTCTCCTCTGCTCGCCCGACTTCATGTGTCCTCCCAGCTCAGGAGCAGCTTTTTTTTCCCTCTAGTGTCCATGCACAGTCAAACAGCCTCAGCAGCCCCAACTGACCGCTCAGTAAAAGTATAGATGGCTGAGATGCTGCAGATTTTGGACTGTAGGCCTTGCAGTTCGCTTTTTCTACGCCGCTATCCCTCTGCAATGCAACTTCCTACCTCCTGAGATTGGGAGAAGAACCAAAGAGACACTAGACAGCATCAACATAGCAACAAAGTATTGTAGCAGCCAAAGAGGCATCACTTTCTGTTTGAGATGCATAGAGCTAGACCTGGCCAGGGAATCTCTCTTTTACAGAAACACGATGAGGAACATGCAACAACAACGACAATACATCATTAATCTCATTGCTTCCCGGGCTTTCTTGGACATTCAGGATCAACGATTAAATAATTTACAATCCTCCATGAAATAACAGAGGGGGAGAGATGGGGGGGGGGAGGCATTGAATTGTGGAAACATTAATGAACACTCGAGAAGAATGGACTGCTGTTGGGGGAGCAGGGAAAGAAATCCCCCTTCTGGCCTTTCCTGGAGGAAACATATTTACATCCAATACATCAGCTGATATATGTGGCCTCACAGACTGACCAGAGGCCCTGACATGGGCATACAGAGATAGAAGGAGGAGCGATAGAAGAGGTTAAAGGAGATAGAGAGAGTAATAGAGAGAACAGAGAAGAGTCCTTGTTAGAAGAGGTTAAAGATGACGGGTCTGGGGGAAGGTAGAAGCAGAACGTGGACAGAATCTAACACAGGGCTTGACAGTTGTTGATGAAATCTAATAGGCTCTCTGTTTTCTGTCTGAGGAAACACTTGAAAAGGAAGAGGTTGGATGAGTTTCACCCAAGAGAGAGATTTGAATAAGGGATGGGCATTAAAGGAGCAAGTTCAGGAGCCAAACGATGGACTGCTGCCAAGGTAACAGGAGGAGGAGGAGGAGACATTGGAATGGCTTCAGATCTGTGCTGAGTTAACGGAGTTTCCTGGTCGGGCTGATGGCAGAGTAAAATGAAGCGGAGCTACCAAACGTAGCCAACCTCGTCATCCTTGTCGTCTTCCTCGTCCTCGTCGTCCCAGATGGCGCCTCTGGGGTGGATGCGGCCCCGTCTCTTCTTCTGCCGGCTCCGAGCACTCGGTGATGGCTCCTCCTCCTGGTCGTCGAGGAGGATGACTGCTCCGCCACTGCCAAAATCCCCTGATGTCTCCTGGTCCTCGTCTGTGGGGAAGTTTGCAAAATCATAGAAAAAAAGATCTCTGAGTATTACAGCTTGTACAGTGTGTGATTCCATCCCATAAAAACAGGTAATGTACGGCAGCTTGTGGTTGCACTCTATGCTGCTAGTTTGGTTGATCATGAGAGTTTCTGTATGTCTGAATTTTAAGCTCAATACTGGACAAATCTATCTACTAATTCCAGATGTCTTTTTCTGTCTGTATGTGGCTCGCATAGCTCGAGAACCGTTCATCTTATCAGCTTCACACACGTCATGTTTAATATTAACGGCCTAGGGATTTTGACATGTTATACAATCACACCAGAGAGGTGTGGGGAGGAGAGTGCAGTTGCTGCAACATGCACAGAACACGAGCCCACTTCCTGGGGAGCTTCCATACCTCTAATTGGCAGGATAAATGGAATGGCGATAATTATTTCTTGTTTATTTAAGGCATATTTTATTTTAGGTTGCTAGGTTGCAAAACACACGCAGATTCTCAGCTGAATTGACCATGTCATGCGTAAATACATATTTAATTATGATGACCTGTGTATTGGTTGGCAAAACTCCTGTCTCTCAAACCTCACACAACATAACACAGATTCAAGTGGTTGATTAAGTAGCTGTCTTAGTGGTGTCTGGCTCAGCCAAGATTCATTAAGTTATACATGGTAATAAATAAATCTGTTTTTTTTTTCTTGCATTAATCTTGAATCTGGTGCAGCTCCTGACCAAACAGGAGTCGTTAACTCTGCTGCTGCATCCAGCATTTTCTGAAACCTGGACCCTGAAATCCTTCTGTTCAAAATAACCTGTTTACACCTGGGTGTAAGTGTGCTCTGGTTGAGTGGCACTCACAGTGTTAAAATCAGTTTGATGTCTTATGGACAAGTCAGTGGAGAGCGCAGTGCATTGCTACCTGTTTGCTCTGTGCAGGGCCAAATGGGAGACGTCCAACCCGCTGCAGCCGGAGGCCACTCAGAGTTACACATGAGCTTGTTAGACCGGAGACAAAGAGCTGCTGCTGTCAGACAGTGTGTGTGTGTGTGTTTGTGTGTGTGTGTGATGGCCAGAGAGACACCTCATCAATACTGGAAGCTGCAATTACTGGCTTTGGACTAGACTGGCATTCGAGCAGGGCGTAATCTATGACTTTGAGTCGGCTGTTTGATTGGTAATCAGTATGTCTCCCTGGATTCATTCTTGCTAATTATTGTTCCTTTTTTTCCAACTATTAAATCCCATCATTGACTTTTTGAACATTCCCACTGAAGTTCCACTGTTTTCTGGTGAACTTTAACATGACACTCTTGTTGCCCTGTCCACACTAATGCAGATATTTTGCAAAACAAACTTTTCCCTCAGTGTTTTAAGTCACTAAAACAGAGATTTTTTCCAATGCTCTCTGTGTCCGTGCGCACATGTCACCATTCAGCCTTAAGGAAACAAGGATGTCACTGGCCAGTTTTTGCTTTTCGTAATGAGCATTCGCCAGAAACAAGACTAGCCATGGTGGAAACGTGACAGTTGACAGGAGAATAATCTCACTGAGCATTGTCATGTGCCATGTGGCATTTGACAGATCTTTGATGGAGAATTTATAGCCATCTACTGGCCCGGCATGCTTATTTATGTGTTTCTAGTAGTTTTTGCGTCCTCCTCTGGACAGAGATATTTTGTTAATGAAGGCATGTGGATGAAGATTATAAATTTCAATGCATGAGAAAATATCAGTTCAAAAAACTTCCTGCAGTAGCGTTGACAAGGGCTTAGTCTGAATGCAACATCAACAGCAGTTCAACTGTTTATTCTCTTCCACAAGGTGCAACTCAGACACTGCTCCAAATTCATATTTATTACAAATCTTCTGACACTGCTCTCTGCTGACAAGCATGACAGATTCTCCTACTTGTAAGACGCTGGTCTTTTATCAAAGCTACACGTGCTAAATATCTGAGGCAGATAGAATCAGACATATGACTGATGGTGAACCAGCCAGACTCTTTCCAGAGGCAGGCCTAATGTTATCTATTTCTTAAATGATCACTGTTGCATAGAAGCCAGCACAGATAAAGACGGGGAGAGATACCGAGCGAAGCAGTAGAGCAAACTTGATTCTCATCTTCCACAGATAACAAAGCGAGAGAAAAGAATCAGAGCTCTGACTCTGAAAGACAGTTATTGGGAGCCAATTTGGGCAAACACAACACAGCCAAACCTCAGTGTTGCTGAAATGAATTATTCGTGGGTGTTTGCACGTATTGTTGTGCTCCCTTTGTGTGTGTGTGTTGTGGTTTTATACCGCAGTTGGGGTTGCCCTGTTTTCTGGAGCCAGCGATCTCGTTGCCATATTTGTCCACACACCAACACTGACCGGTGCTGCCATGGCACTGGGTTGGTTTGAAGTAGCCCTCCTCGGTACAGCGAGGAATATAAGAGCCTAGAATCAAAGGGAGAAAGGGAATGAAAAGGAGGCAGTGATGAGATGAGACAGAAAGCTCTGGGAAGATCAAACCGACATAGTTAAATTGGTAAAATCTGATGCCAGGTCAGCAGAGGTGACATGTACTGTATGAGTCCTGTGGTTGCAACCAAATTTGCGTGTTCACAGAGGGAGATCAACAATCAATTACTGCTTCGAAGCTTGAAAGGCAAAACCATACATCCTGTTTAAGGTTAAGCAGTCACTTTCAATAGAACACATACAGGCACAGGCACACACACACACACCAATTTTGTGTTACCTTCATTTGACCCAGTCTGAGCTCATTTTTCAAGCTTTTTTTCCTGCTGTTGTTGTGAGCTGGATCACTGAATGTTCTGCCCGTAGGGACGAAGCGACACGTGTACAAAATGTCAGGATGTGTTTTATTGTATGTGTGTTTTTTTGCCTGTGTGAGTCAAGTGAAAAGGGACACAATTTGTCGCTTGTGTGTGTGTGTGTGTGTGTGTGTTATTGTTAGCATTAAATGCCATTAACTGACCTATGAGGCTCTTCCTTCGACTCTGATTCTGGATCCTGCTCTTTTCAGTTTGGCAAGGCAGACCTGCAACCGGGTAACATACAAAATATTTTAATAAAAAGTACTTTTTTTAGTTTCCCATTCAACTGGTCAAAAAAAACCCCTACTAAAATCTGGCTTTTGTCTCCACTGGGAATGGATACAATCGCCAATCACTCCATGATCTAATCACTCTACAGGGGACACAAAAACAGGTTTTTATCGGCTCCGGTCCAATCAGCATTGACACAAACATGAAACCTGGGTGATTGTGCTAATTTCTTTATTTTGGCAGTATAGACCTTGGTGCTGCACCTTTTCCATTGTGCTTTTATGACATGCACTAAACTCATTGGTTCCCGACACGTGGGTTTAGTGACATTGAACATGACTAATCAGGGGAAAAAACAGATTGGCTAGCTCCTCTCCTGGAATGGAAAAAGAGTTAATTGCATTAAAAAATATAATACCCTCATATACCGACCACATACCCGTCAGTCTTTCGACCAACCAAACACCAAAATATTATATTAAAATGTCAAATTTTTCAGTTATCAGCTTGTTTTCAGTCACTTCATCAATGATTGAAAACCTGCATCAAAGAAAAGATTTCTTACCTGTTTTAGTGCGATATAACATTCAGGTTAAATTAGCAGTTAAGTAACAAAAAACAGTTTTTAACCCTCATCCCCTGCCTCCCCTCCCTCACCCTCAGGTTTCTGGAAGCAGTAACACCACTCGTTGTTTGACAGCTTGCCGTCCTTGAAGGAGTCGCACGAGTTGAAGAGGGGCTTCATGCACAGCTCATACTTGTCCAGGTAGATAGCGCTCAGCTCTGATTGGTCCAGCAGGAGGTCGAAGTTCATGTCCAGCTTGTTGAACATCCAGCCCAGTGAGTCCTTACAGATCGGCAAGATGCTGGTGTCAAAGTCTAGAGGACGAAAGAAGAATAAATAGAAAAACAGAGACAGAAAAAACCTCATTGATGTGAACAGTTTTGAAACTAGGGAACACGTCCATGTCACACTGAGATGTGTTCAGGCATGTTGACATTACAGAGAACAGAGCGGGGTCGCTGTCGACATCACTGCCAGCCTACATGACAGCTGAGAAGCAGGACCGTTCAACGGGAAAGGGCTGAACTCACACACAGGCGCAGACACACATACACACACACACATAGATATTGCGGGGGGGATGTACTCACGTCCAGTGGCAGAATCGAAGCTGTCAGAGGATTTGAGATCTCTGTTGGCATCGAGGTGGAGAACTCCGAACCAGTCCTTCAGTCTGGCAGCCAGACTGTGAAGCTCTGTGTCAGTGCAGGCTATACACACACACACACACACACACACACACACACACACACACACACACACACACAACAACAACAACACAAAATAATGAGGAGAGGGGAAGCAGTCAATCTCCTGCTGTCATCAAAGAAAAAAAACTATTCTTTTCTTTGCTCCTTATCAAACTTTCATTTCATTTCTGCCTTGTACTTTTTCTCTCTGTGGTCTCTTTTCTTTTTCTCATCCAACTCTTCTTCTTGACTAAACACAGAGGAGCGATAACACATACTGAACTGCTGCTATCTCTTGTCAGTTACCATAGGAACCCAATCTGACACACGCTCACAGACTCACACGCAAATACAGTAGACTGAGTTTAGTTTGAGTTTCCTCGTCTGCTGTCATCTCTCTGTTTACATTTAGTGTTCCAGTTCAAATGAAGGATTGTATCTTTATGTGGGAAACTACACACTCACACAATCACTTACAGACACACAAAACAAAGGTCTGCTGAAAATCCTGATTGTCGTCTTGCTTGGAAACATTTTCTGAATGTCTCGCAGCGACAGGCCACTTGATCATTGCATTTAATTTGTGGTGTTGAAATCTGTGTTTGTGTTTTTATGCAGAATCACAGTGTTTACCCACAACAACAGCTGATCCAACACTGTCAAGCATCTTAACGCTGCTGTCCATGCAGCTACCCAAAGACAGCACAAACTGAACAAAATATTTAATGACGTCCCTAATTGAAAGTATAAGCCAGCCTGTGGTGCTGCTCGAACACATTTCTGCAGAACTGACAGGGTCTTTCTGCAATTCAAGCAGTGTCCTGCCTACGCCTGCCTCTCTGTCAATCTTCATCTTTCTTCCTATTCCTTTTTCCTGCATGTGATTGACATATTTTTTTCCATTCATTTTCTTCTGAGAGCTTGATGATGCTGCTCAAGGACAAGAGCCATTCTTCACCTTGTGCACCAAGCCTGCCAATGCAAACGCTCCAGGAAGGAAAACACAAGGAGGAGGCTATTAACATTCCCTCCAGTGCCCGATGCAAAATTGAGGCAGTTTGCTGAGAAACGTGGCAGAGGTTTCGAGCGTATACAAAAAAACAAATCACAGATTCTGTGTTCAAAACATCAAATTCTTGGATATAGCATCAAAGATTGCAAAAAAGAGAAAATCTACTATCACTTACATGCATATGCACCGAGTCTGTTATACACATCAGACACAGAGAAACTTCATCTCATCTACAGTCTCCTCTGTCACACACAATGAGGGACACACTTTTCGTTTATTCTAAAAGTCTTTGAAAGTCTGGATCACACTTTGCTGTCGGTAGATAAAGACATCTGCAGCATCTCTCTTGTCAGAAGATTTTTGTTGTTTGTTGAGTCACACTCTTGTCATGCGGTTGTTAAATCCTATCCTGCAGCCACATATATACGCAAAATGGTTATATTCTACAGTTATAGTTTGTGGGTATGTGTCATTATCACAGCTGTTATAAAGCAGTGGACGCCCCAGGTAAATATACCGGAGCTGAGCAGAGGACAAAATAACATTAATCTGGCCGGGCATCTGTATGATATTAACTGTGGTGTGCACGTTTGTGTGTGTGTGTGATACAACCCTCCAGGACCAGACAGATAACTCAGCCTGCTTCATTCCCACTGTGTGGAGAGAAGAAAAGAGGGAGCGAAATACCAACAGCTAAACATTATCTGTCTTCACCTCCTAAATAAAACTCCCACAGGCAGAAGTGGATCAGCGCCGTGTTACACTTTTCTGAACACAAACCCCTGGAAGGTTTATCCCTCTGCTCCTTTCTCTTCTCACACATTGCCCTTTCGATCACTCTCTGCATTAGCAATTCTTTCTCTTCTTGCTCATTTCCCGTTATCACCTCTTCATTTCCTCTCTCTCTGCTCTAACTCCGTCAGTTTTCTGACTTTCAGCTGAAGCGACTCATCACACCTGACTCTACCTAACTCCCTTTCTCTCTTAGATGGAGAAGACTACTTTGAAATACCCCACTCTCCTATTTCTTTCTCTTTACTCAAATTGCTTTGAGTGCTTCATTTCCCATTTCTCTCCTGAAACATCCCCCTACAGCAGACGTGCGGGAGAACCTTTTTCCTATCAAGGGCCAGTTAAATTTTTATAACCTCCTTTGCGAGCCATACTGAATTATTGAAAACATACATTATATTATATTTTGCACTTCCTCTGTGTCTCTGTCCTTCTTCGTTTGGTGTTGTGATTTGAACCTTTAATACATTCAAGGCAGGTAAAACATGTAAACTTTTCACAAATAAACTATCTGCTTCTTTTCAGCTGTAATGATGCTAAAGATTTGCCTTTTCCATCACTGTGTCCCGTAAACCAGGGACATACGTGCATGCCTATATGGTTTGCCTATTTCTCGTTGAAGTGAGACCTTGCACAAAAACTTTCCTTGACAATCATCGTGCTTCAAGTCAGTGATGTGTGTTGTATTCATTCTGAATGTGGTCTGACAGGCACACAGGACCAGCCTTTGGAACACGTGAGTCCACAGAATTACATTATTTACATTAATTACAGAGAACTGTCTAGTGGGAGGCCGACAGTTTCCCACCCCTGCCCGAATCTCCATCTGTCCCTCTACCCCTTCTTCCATCTTTTTCTACTTTTGACTCCACTGCCCCCATTTTTTTCCCCCCCAGTCCCCGTGTGGACACTGTGACCCACAATGTGTCTCAGAGGACCCTTCTTATCGCTTCTTCTCAGTGTGACCCAAATTGTTCTGGACAGCTCTGACACTGCTGCCTGTGTTAGGAACCCTTTTGTTGGGCAATGAGTCAGAAAGCTTGGACTGAAAACATTCACGCACTGAAGGACACAGCGCACAGATCAAATGGCCCGCTGACCGTTTCTTTCTTTCCGAGCCACATTGTGGTCAGGCGCGCACACAACCATCATCAATGGCTTTCCACAGGAGGTACAGAGATTACCCTGTGATGACAGAACAAGACATCATGTGGAACCCGATGTTGCAGCTGTCAGTTGAAAAACACAGTCTCTGTCTCACAGTCACTTCACAGAAAGAAGTTTGACTCAGACAGTAGATTATCTCAGAGCTGGACTCAAGGCTTCCTTTACTCACCTAAAAATAGACTAAAAGTAGTTTAGACAGCTGTGCAGCCACAAATTCAGTGCTATTCATCTTGGTCAACATGAGCAAAGTACAGCGATGTATTAAAAAAAAGAAAAAAATCAGTTCTAGTAGTATAACAGATATTTTAGAAATATAGAAATATCTTTTTTTGAAATCCTTCTTTCCCTTCAAGAACAAATGTTGATCTTAAAACCTGTTAGGTCACCAGTCCCCTGCCTCTATGCTCAATCCAATAAACTTGCAAGACGAGTTCTTCAACATTTTGTTATAAGGATTTGTTCTTTTCCTCTAGTGCAGTGTCTAACTCCTCAAGTTGTGAGTAAGCATTTTTCTGTAAACTGTAGAGAAACAATTTTCTTTCCTTCATCCCACAAAGTAATTTTACTTCATTGGGCCTCTAATAAATGTGCCTCGTTTCAAGGTGTCATGTGACAAAGGGTTGGGAACCACAGCACTAAATTAACAATTTGTCTGGCCGATCGCACAAAGCTCCTGTCACTATTCATTTGACAAAATGTGTTTCCAACGTCAAGAAACTTTTTGTTATATATGCACCATTGAAGCTCTGCTGAGAAGGTTATGACCCTCAGCAGGATTACTCAATAACTACTGAATCCAATTCACTTTCTTTAACATAACAGGATACAGGGTTAGCATTAAGTGCCCCTCTGAGTGCTTTATGTGATAACCTACTGCAAAACAGGCTATGTCAAAGTGATGTGTTAACAGTCCCTGTGAAGTTCTGACAGGTGCAACTGCTGTGTGAAACTAAGTCTGCATACAGAACAATTTGCCATGGCAACCACCTGTAGCTCCTCATGACTCAGCGTCCTGTTTCTGAGGACAGAAGAGAGAGCAAGAGAGTTTGGTTTTCTCAGCTTGTTACTCTTCTTAAACGGAGTGGACATTATTGTCTTAGAAAATGTGATTTATGTAACAGCTGTTACAATAAATGGTGACATAAAGTTGGCAGCAGCCAGAAAAGCTTGATGACTTTGGGTAAGAAGTTCCCATTTCACATCTGCAGAGAGAGTTTCTCCATCAGAATGTTGCTAAACAGTTAATCCACACAGTTACTTCCTAACAATTACAGAGGAGGCACTTGTGTGCACAGAGACAGAGATAAACTGTAGGCCAGGGTTTGCCAAAGATGACGCCACTTCCAACCCACCACAGACTGGATGACAATGGATTTTTACCCAGGATGAAGAGGCAGTAGACAGCCCACCACCAGACACACAGGCGGCTTTTAGTAGAAGCTATCGATCAGAGCGGCAGGTCAAATATCAAACACTGATTCATGACTGGGGGTTACCTTCTCATCCTGCTTCCTTCCTACACCCTCCCCTCTGAGCCAGTACTTCCTCGTCTCTGCTGTCTCACATGTCTGTGAATTCAGATGAGTTTTTCAGACTAGCTTGGACATCTGTTGTTATGTGGTTAACCACAGCTACACTGTGATCTGGCACAGAATAAATAATGAAGAAACAAGCTTTCCTCTAGACCTCTCTGACAAAAAACCAACAATATAAAACTTTTTTTTTGTAACGTTAATACCCGAGAGACCTGTTTCCTATTTGCTGAACTTCTTCTAAAAGACAAACACAAAGCAGAGATTAATAGAACATATGGCATGTAGAAGAAGCTATTATTGGAAAGCAGGTTGGAAAAAGTCACCAAAGTGAACCTCAAAAAGAGATAATAAAGAATGAGTCACACCGTTGCCATTGATTTAATGCGTTTTGCTGTAGGTGTTTTTAAGAGTCAACATTTGTTTACAGTTTTGCAAATGAAAACCTTTTATATAATGCCACATAAAGTAATTACATTTAATATATGCAGCAAGAGATGCAGAGACAAGTGGATTAC